TCAAATAGAATAACATCAACTTTAACCTATTAAATATACATAGGATCACAAATTTAGAGTTGCTTGAAAAGTTAAAACACAAATGAATAAGACATTTAGAAAAAAAAAAAAACTTAAAAAAAAATATAATATCATTGGGGCTAATTATATTGTTAATTAAGAGATATGGTTAATGTTATAGACGCAGTACCTTGATAAAAGTACATTAATTGTTCATACGTCTTATATGAATATTTGCTTGACTAAGTATCTTTCGCTTCTCATCATTTTTCAAATCAATGCATATAAGTGGAAACGCGCAAATTTGCACAACGTTATCTTGACAATTTTCGGGATCAAATGAACCTTCCATAGTATCAGGATTCACTGGAGCATTACATTCAAACCAAAACGGTGAATCAACCTTTTGTTCTTGAACTTTCAGTCTGAAAAAGAATATTTTAACAATATCACGAGCAAGCTCTGCAGCAATGCTTCTGAATATCATCATTTTGGTAGGATTTTTTACAATTCGATAATGGTTCGCCGTGAGAATTAGTTTTTCTTGAAGATTACTAATAAATGAATGTTCAATAGTGCCTTTAGACGATACAACTCGATTGAACCCGCGATTGCTTAAAACACTATAAATTTGTTGTCTAAGTTTTATTGGTAAGGTTGGAGTAACATTATCACTACCTTCACGATATTTAGAAAGACCACCTATCATATTTAACAGAGTATCTGTGCTTCGAACAATCTGCGTTTCAAGGTCTGAAACTTGATGGTTGTTTCTTGATAAATAATTGCCGATTTCTTCAATAGATGATTCAAGAATATATCTTTGCATAGCAGCTTGAAGTAATGACTTGCAATGTACATCATCATCTATAAAGTTTGTACATCCATATTGCTTTAAAAGCCTCGATGCGTTTTTTTTATTAATATCGAAATGTTTGGCAGGTTTAACGGCAGATAAATATTCAAGATTCTTTTTCAAAGTCTTGATGTCTTCTCTAAGTTGAGACATATTGTTGAGATCGTCATCGCCCAATCTGACACTTGTCGCCCTACCCAATGCAGATTGATATTTTGATGCCTCATTTGCCAAACGTTCAATAGTTTTTTGTGATTCTATTTTATGATTTTCGACTTGACATTCGAGTTCCTCGTTCCGACGTTGCATTTCTTTTAACTGTTCTTCTAGTTCCTTATTTTTAAGCAACAGCACATTGTGAATATCTTGTTCATTAGTTTTTTGTGATTCTATTCTATTATTTTCGAGTTCCTTGTTCCGACGTTGCATTTCTTTTAACTGTTCTTCTAGTTCCTCATTTTTAAGCAACAGCACATTGGGAACATCTTGTCCATTAGTTTTTTGTGATTCTATTCTATTATTTTCGGGTTGATTTTCGAGTTCCTTGTTCCGACGTTGCATTTTTTCTAACTGTTCTCCGAGTTCCATATTCCTAAGTAGTACATTAGAAATCTCTTTTTTTATTTCATCAATATTCCTATCTAGCATATTTGTTATTTTATTAAATTCATCATATTTGTCGAGTGTATCATATCCTCCATTCTGTGCTGATGGTTCTTGCACTAGTTGCTTTAGCAAAAGTAAAAAAATATAAACAAAGCGAAAAAGAATTCAACGCGACATTGTGAACATATTCTATTAATACATTAATACTTACTACAAACATTCTCTACTAGAATAAATAAGCGTAGAGATGGGAGCCTTTTTTTGTTTTTCGGTTTGAATTTATATATATATATTTTGACGATGATTGTATTGTAAGATTAACTCCAGGTTAAAGTTTATCCAAATATGGCGCACATAAATTATTAATAAATTATTTTCACAATTAAAATCACATATGGCGTAAATTGGCTTTTGATCCAATTCTAATTAATTTACACTTTGTTAAAATGAATCAAAGAAATTTATCTGACTCTAGCGTGTTGCGCCTTGCACCTAAAAATAGTTTATTTGATTATAATTTATCAATAAGTAATTTTAATTAAATAGACATTTTTTTAATACAAATATCCCGAAATGTAAGTATAAAATATACAAAAAAAAATCGAAAAAACTCATTAATGATTATTTTATACAAGCAGTAAACATAATCAACTTTACTATGTCTGATTTTCCTTCGACAGATGATATTCGAGTAGTAATTTCCATAGGTACGTAACCGTTTTTTTTTCGTTTGAATACTTATATTGTCTTATGATAACTACTTAATAATTACTACTGCTGAAACAAATTCAATAGATTTTGGAACTACGTTCTCTGTAAGGAAGTTTCTATTGATATGTTTTTACAATAATACAGCCACTTACTTTTTTTCAATTAGGGTTTTGCATACGCAAATTTGTTTGATAATAAAGAAAATTTTCAAAATGACGAGATGAATTTTGAATATTATACCTATAGTTTATGGGTAAGGATACTAAGCTTTTCATCAATTTTCAATGAATTAAACCCGATTATTTAAACATATTGCATATATATGTAGGAAGGCAAAGCTCTCGGAAAGTTCAAAACTAACACTGTGCTTCGATATGATGATGAATTCAATGAAGTTTTAGCGTGGGGTGCTGTAGGCTTGGCAAAGCATCCTGGCCGAAGAAAAAATGCAAATGCATCAAAGCCTGTAGAGCTATTCAAACTTGCTTTGGGCAATTTAGCTGATGATCTAAAACCAGAACTTCCACCAAAACTTCACTTAGAAAAAGAAGAGAGGCATAAAAAAGCTATTACTGATTATCTAAAAAAATTAGGTATAACATTCTTTTATTCGAAAGCTATCTTCAAACTTTAGTGTTATTAACAGTAAATTTATTTTACAATATATTAGGAGAGGTAAGGATGCTCTCGTAACTCTTTACAGAAAATTACATGAGTCTCTAATAATTTTTTATGGCAGGTGATTAAACAAAGGGTTACAAGTCATTGGGAAATGGACTTTTATGAAACCACTCGACTGATTTTTACTATCCCAGTTGAATATTCTTATAAAGCAAAAAAGGTTATGCGTGAATGTGCATTCAATGCAAACTTGATTTCAAAAGTTGATTCGAATAAATTACAATTTACTACCGAAGGTAAGAATTTTTATAAACTATTCAAACTGAGCTTTGAAGCTAATATGTTATTTTACGCAGCCGAAGCTGCTGCTATATATTGCATTACAAAAAAGAGCTTAAGAGATAATTTTCTCAAAGATTCTGAAAGTAAGCATTAGATTATGTTTAGTAAATTTTTAAAATTTTATATTATTGATCCTAATTTCTTTTATATCAATAGCTTCCTTCTTAATTGTTGATTGTGGAGGTGGAACAGTTGATTTGACTACACGTAAATTATTGAGTAATTGCGAGCTAGGAGAAATTACAGGTAATATTTCGAATAACTATTCGACAATTCCAGCTTTTTTTCAGACTCACGTTTTAATTATTTTACATGGTTTTCTAGAACGTGCTGGTGACTTCTGCGGATCTACTTTTATCGACAAAGAATTCTTGAAATTTCTTGGTAGAATTGTTGGCCATAATGCGATAAAATTGCTTCGTGAAAAGAATTATGGGTAAAAGACATTCATTAAAAATTTTATTTACAATGTTTTTACCATTATCTTATTTTTGTATTTACATAGCGAAATGCAGTACATGATCCAAGAATTTTGCGATAATATTAAAATTCCATATACTGGAGATGATGATAACTTCACTTACGACTTTGATATCGATGTATAGTATAGTTTTCTCGTTTTTCACCCTATAAATATATATATGACATTAATTATTTAGCATATTGAATCCTTTAGAGAATTTGTTCAGTATTAAAGCAATATGTCACTGGAGAGGCAAAAATATCTCTTGAAGAGAATGATTGGATCATTGAAATTAATAACGATGAAGTCAAAGAAATGTTTGATCCTATTGTTGAGAGGATTATTCGGCTTATACACGTACAACTTGAAAATTCTCGTGCATGTTCGGCTATACTTATGGTTGGAGGATTTAGCGGTAATTGTTTTTTTATCATGGCAATTAATCTTTATTTCATTTGTTTATTTGATTATTTTCAAACTTGTTTTTTTTTTAGAGTCTAAATATTTACAAAAAAGAGTTAAAGAAGAATTTAAAAACAAAATTGCGCATATCTTAATACCTCCAGAACCTACTGCAGCAGTAGTTCGTGGCGCTGTTATATATGGTCTACGTATGAACCCGTCATTCTGCAATGTACAAATACCTTCTTTTAAACCAATCATCAAGAATCGAGTTCTTAAATATACGTATGGTGTTGAAGTAGGTCTTTTCAATAGTTTTTCTAGTTTGGCTAAAAGAGGGTAAGTACAAAACGTACCATTGTTTCTTTACGCCATTCACCTACATTCTTACCTACTTATGCACACTTTAATATATAGAACAACCGCCGAAGTTAATCAGAAATTTGATGGTACATTTATTCCACTTTTTCCATATCAATCAGCTGTAAAGTTTAAAATTTATATAAGTCAAAAATACGAAGTAGAAAATTGTCGTGAAGAAGGTGTTGAACTTCTTGGTGAATTGTTAGTTGATCTTCCCGATATAGATCTTGGTCTTGATAGAAAAGTCGGATTTTCTCTTTGCTTTTGTGAAGAAGAAATTAAGGCTTCCGCAGTAAATTTGCTTAATGGGCAGAACTATCATACTGTCTTTAATATAGATGCAGAATCTTAGTATTTATACTGTATAAACATATATTATTACAGTTTTGCATTACAAAATTTGTAGAATTTATATAATTAGTTTCCCGAAAATAAAATGTTCGAAAATGTTAATTGCATATTCGTATTACAAAAATAATTTATGAAAGAAAAAAAAATATTACAGATGCTTTTGAAAAAAACAGCTTACGGTAATCAAATAGAATAACATCAACTTTAACCTATTAAATATACATAGGATCACAAATTTAGAGTTGCTTGAAAAGTTAAAAAATTATGAATCACGGATCACAATAAGAGTTCGTATAAATTTTTCTGCCTTTAATCGATTACAAAAATAAAATATGGTTATAAAAAATTTATAGAATAGTTTTTATTTTATAATTTACTAAGAAATCTCTTAATTTACAAAGAGCATAAAACGCGAAATACGTAATTTGTAAATTTACATAACAAAACTTAAGGGTAAAAATTAATGTAGGTCATATAAAAGTTAAATTTTAAGAAGCGCATAATTTGCACAAAATTTTGAAAGGAATTGCTTTTAATGGAACCTCAATAATAAGCAAATTTTAAGTGATAATAAAATACCTGTGTTTCATACACTAATGTACCAATAGAAATTGTCATTAGGTTGTTCTCAAGCAGCTCCCTCAATGAGATTTCCTAGCGATAGAGATGCTTCTCAACCATTTCGATTAATCGAAATAAATTGAAATGATCTTTTTAACAATTTTGCTGGAAATTCATTGTGCTAAATGCGGGGAATTTTTTTTTTTTTTTAAAAAAAAGATGGCTGTTAGGTCCAGTTGAAATGATTAAACACGATCTATTTTTTCAACCAATTAATTCATTTTATTAATCATAGAAGGAGGTGCTTGAGAGCTATATTAAATTTAAAACATAACCTAAAATTTAAAGATATAATGTTAACCGGTTATATAAAATCATGTTTTTTTAGCTAATTGTTAAACCCCTATTTATTTCCATAATACATATCAGAGCTTGGAATTCCATAAATTACTTTTCTTTGTTGCCTTTTATGATATGAGTAACCGAAATAGACTATTATTGCACAAATAATGAGACCTAATACGGCTCCAAGAGATCTAATAATGCCTTCTGGGGCACTATAACATTTATCGTGATTTGTATTAATTGGACTTCAACAGTAGCGGCAGTTATTTCGAACTCAATACCAATTGAATCGTTTGCTTTAACGGAAATACCACCAGCAGATGATAAATATGATTTTACATCCTCGATGCCAGATATATCAGTCTCCCTAAGAGTAATCATATCTAGAGGTATTACCCGGGTCACGGGTCGAAAATTAATCTAACCCGGGTCAAACGGGTCAGGATTTAAAATAGGCAAAATTTGCTAAAAATAATATTTTACAGTAATGTGTATTATATATTGTACCTATATAATCATATTGATAGATTACAATTTTACTAAAGCTCTTACCGAGACAGTACGGGAAAGTTTCTGATAGGTCATGAGTCAAAAATTGGATCAAGTAGTATGAATAAAGACTAATAACTCGAATAGCTCGAAGAAATTTTTGATACCGTATAAGCGCGAAATAACGCTCATGGGCGTTATTTTGAAAATCGAATCCTTCAAAAATAGTTTATGTGGTCTCGAATAAGCATCCATTGGCGTTCCGAATTAACGCGGAGTTGCATGTAATCATTGTTGGAAAATTGATACACAGCCGATCTTCCATATGTGCATCCTTTATAAATGCGCTTCACACGCACTTTCTTTTAATAAGTGCACTTCACATACACTTCTTTCTATTATTACACTTCATTTGATGACGTACAGTGTAAAAAATTCGATGTGCGCATGTGAGGATCGCACATGAAATTTTTGAAGAAAGCATGTGATCATATGAGCGCGCACAACCTGAAATTTTTACACTGGTAGCATAACATAATATCTAGATTATATTCCATAAGAGCACTTTTTCCTAATTACATACATTTATGGGGGACGTCTAAAGCGGAGTAGATCTTATAATATATACAGTATTTATTGAATTAACTTTAGGATTAGAATCATCTTATATTATGGATAAATTAGGTTTAAAACAATTATATATAAGCAAAATTGCCTTCCCAACATTTTTAATTAACTTACCCAAGGTACTGTAGATTTAGACTGCCGTTTTTTATATTTTCAAGTTTTTCACTTTTATTTCTTATCTTGCTTCGCCGGGATCATCAAATTCTATAATTTGATTAGCCATATTTCACATGATTCTGCTTCGTTTTAGACGACCTCAAAGATTGACGGTATTGGATTCAAAAAAAAAAAAGAACAACTCCTATTTCGAAATGACGCACATGGGCGTATCCAAATAACGCAGATGGCGCTTATACGGTACAAACTCCGAAAAGATCAGATTTAAATACTTGTTGGTATGTTATGATCCATATGACCCGTTGACCCGGGTAATACCTCTAATCATATCATTATGTACTATATAACCACCTGTTTCTAAACTACTTAAGGTGTTATAAGTATTATTAACATGACTTAAGGTATAATTTCCATTTAATAGAGCAGTAAATCTTGCTACAGCAAATCTGCCATTAATATCAGGATGTAAGCCCACACTATGAGGTGCAAATATCGCAATTCCGTTACCTAAAGTACTATTACCTGTTACTGTATTGTACTATTACCGTATCCATTTAAAGTAATAGTCAGTTGATTAGAGTTACGTATAATATACACCTAAATAATGCATCAATTGCCAAGAGTTATCTGCAGCGAACCATGCGACTATCCCACTGTCTTTTGGATCCTGATCTAAGTGCATGAATAAGCTAAATTCTCCTGAGACTTGATAATTGGCCGGTTTGAAGCCATAAGACCTTACTGTATTTGGGTTATGTATAGTAAAAAAATTCATCGTTTCGTAACCATTTTGTCAAAGATTGGTTCGACATGATTATTCATGCAATGGTTGGTAGTACTTTAGAGTTACCGAAAATTTTTTAGGCAGCCTAAACCGTAAATAATCTCGGCTGCCGAAAATATTTCCGGCTGCTTAAAATAATTTCGGCTGCCTAAATAATTTCGGATGCTGAAATTATTTTTTGACGTCATTATGGGTAAATTTTAACTATTGATGCTGGTGAAATACGGTGAAATGTGGTGAAATAATTTCACCACTATTGGTGAAATTGGTGAAATTAATTTCACCAGCATCTATAATTTTAACTAACAAAATTTTTCCTATTATAATCTGTGTCTAAAATATGCTACACGAATATCGCCCAAACAGATTCGTTTTATTCCGAACGGACATTAAAGTTTTTAATACAGTTAATACTGTCTAAATGCATACCATCGGGAAAGAAAAAACCAATTTTATGCATTTATACAGTATCAACCAATCAAATACCATAAAATCAACTGTTGTAACTACCGAAGTGGATAGTATTATTAATTTGTGTCACTGATCCACCTAACAAAAACAGGAATTTAGAGATAAGTTATACGTGGGTTTATAGTTGTTAGACGAAACCTTTTTTTGCTTGATGACGAAAGCCGAAACCTAAGCTCTAAATGACGAAAGCCAAAACCTAAGCTCTAAATGACGAAAGTCGAAACCTCAAATTCTTTAGAAAGTTGATAATCAATAACATACTGTAATTCATGATTCTTATTAACTTCACTTTTCTGATCAATTCATTGAAACCATATTTCACCGACAATTATTCACTGACAAATTTATTTTACCGACAGTCTATTCACCATAGCTCATTTCACAGACAAAGTAACTCTGGTCATTATCATTTGGTTCAGGCCAGGGACACGGAAAAAATGCGATTTTATTTAAAGGATTTGAAATTCCTATAAATAAAATCGCACTTTTTCCGTGTCCCTGGTTCAGGCTAGAGTTAAAATTAGTGTAATTTATAAAAAAACTCGTTAGTGAAATAATCTTCTGTGAAATAGGCTTTCAGTAAAAGAAACTTGTGGATGAATAATTGTCGGTGAAATAATACGGATAACTTTTTATTAAGTTTCTTATTTAACTGGCAAGTACAACAATAATCAAAGATCTGTATGCACCTCTTATTAATTTATTATCTGTCACAGGTCGAACTTCAAATTTCGACAAGATTTCTGTGGAATATAAAACGTTTATAAAGCTGATAGCTACTCGATATTTGACGCGTATTGCTACCTATTGAATAAATGTTGCATCCGATAGACATATTAGTGATCTGACGCTTCTATTAACAAAATATCAAATATCTGGTCGTTATCGGTTTATAAGCGTCCGATATTCCGCTGATATCTCTCTGAAATCTTATCGAAAATTTAAAGTTCGGCCTGTGTGTGCTAATTTGTCTTTTTATTCAAGTCAATTTAGCCAATAGACATAACAAATATTTTTTAATCGAAATATGTAAAATAATCTATGTTTACTATTAATTTCTTATTTGTGCTGATTTACTTAATTGATTATTCTATGTATAAATTGTATATTTTAAATTTTAGCTCTTTATGAACATAAAATGTAGAAAGCCAAGGCGCCTTTACTCACATTTGTTTAAAATTTTTATAAATTTTCTGTTTTTGTAATTTATTTTTTATTCACATTATCTTCAATGAGTTTCAACAACATTTATCTGTTTCTTCATCTTTTATTAGTTTTGTCACCCTTTGCAGTTGCGTCATTTTCGTTACCTTTCGTCACCTTTCGCCAGTTTCGTCACCTTTCGCTAGTTTCGATACCTTTCGTCAGTTTCGTCATTTGAAATTTTAGTTGACGAAAGTCGAAACTAGGTTTCGACTTTCGTCATCGCGAAACCTCGAGGTTTCGTCTAAAAACTATACGTTGGTTTGGTAAATGATATTATATTTAGTATGGAAACTATTGCTAAATTTAATTTATTTCTTTGATTAGGATCGGTTTTTTTTTAGTAAGGGGTCTTTTAATAACGTTATTATGGGAGAAACGATACTTAACGTACAAGAGAATCGGATTTTTGTTAAGATAAGTAAAACTACAAATACAATTGTGCAAATAATATTAACTAATACTAATGCTATACTATTATCGTTATTCAGATAAAATACTACAAGAGACATTAAAGGGTATTATTTACTAATTCTAAGAGTAATTCGACTTATCCTCCTAAACGTACCAGGAAGGTATCCTTTTATACTTTCTCTACCATCTTGATAGTTAGATACTTTTTCACGGTAGTTATTAACTTTTGCCGTTAGTTCTTTACTTCCCTGGTAGTTACTAACTATCAATTATCAGTCCAAATAGTTAACAACCTTCAACAACCAGTTCTAATAGTTCGTACGTAACTAATGGCCGATCCCCAAACCCACAGCCGACGTGGCTTACCGACCCGTAATACAATATTTAACATATTTCCATATTAGGCATAACCTAAATGCATATTACTACGTAATAAATTTATTTAAAAAATTATGCATTTAATCAGTACGTATGCATTATGCATTTAGACAGTATCGACTGTATATAGATAATTAGCACGAATTTGTAATATCTGAAATTTTATTTACGATCAAAGATATTTGAGTTTAACCTTAAAATACTGTACTTTAATCCGAGTTTTGCTGTTATATATCATCCAGATTTTGCACAATGCAATATGCGCTCTCTGATTTGCCATTTTTCTTTTTAGGCGTTTGTATTACTTGCGAATGTCCAGTAACCTAAGTACATAAATAGAACTTCATTATGCTATTCGTGAATTTTTATTTTTATTTCAATAATGAGTAAAACGATAAAAGAGCTCTGCATATAAGGATGGGGATATCTGTATGGTGACGAAGTTAAAAAGGACGAGCGTAAAGCCTTCAATCATCATCAAAAATCAGCAAAATTAGGTGATGCTCAAGAAGCAGATAATATTGGATATTTCTATGGAAATGGAGTCGGGATTGAAAAGGATGAGTGCAAAGCCTCCGAATATTATCATAAAGCAGCATATAATTACGAAAATGGAATTGGTATTGAAAAGGACGAGCTCAAGGCCTTCAAGTATTATCAAAAATCAGACGAATTAGGTAACGTTCAAGGAAATATAATGTTGGATATTGCTATAAAAAAGGAATCGGAGTTAAAAAGAATGAGTTCGAGGCCTTTGAATATTATCAGAAATCAGCAGAATTAGGTAACGCTCAAGGAATATATCGTGTTGGATATTGCTATGAAGAAGGAATTGGAGTTAAAAAAGACGAGCTCAAGGCCTTCGAATATTATCAAAAATTAGCAGGATTGGGCAATGTTCAAGGAATATATCGTGTTGGATATTGCTATGAAAAAGGAATTGGAGTTAAAAAAGACGAGCTCAAGGCCTTCGAATATTATCAAAAATCAGCAGGATTGGGCAACGTTCAAGGAACATATAATGTTGGTATTTTTATGAAAAAGGAATAGGAGTTAAAAAGGACGAGCTCAAGGCCTTCGAATATTATCAAAAATCAGCAGAATTAGGTAACGTTCAAGGAGCATATGGGAACCCCCACAGCAAAACAAACCAGTGGGCGAAAAATTTTTTTTTTTTTAAAACTCAATTTCTCGAAGAATTGAAGTATTAGAAATGCAATTTTTATAAAATTACAAAAACAAAATTTTTTGCCCACTGGTCTGTTTTGCTGTGGGGGTCCCCATATACTGTTGGATATTTTTATGAAAAAGGGATCGGAATCAAAAATGATAAGAAGAAAGCCTCTGAAAATTATTATAAGGTAGCATATCATTATGAAAATGGAATTGGTGTTGAGAAGGACGAGCTCAAGGCCTTCGAATATTATCATAAATCGGCAGAATTAGGTGATGCTCAAGGAATATATAATGTTGGATATTTTTATGAAAAAGGAATCGGAGTTGAAAAGGACGAGCTCAAGGCCTTCGAATATTATCAAAAATCGACAGAATTAGGTAACGGTCAAGGAACATACAATGTTGAATATTTTTATGAAAAAGGAATAGGAGTTAAAAAGGACGAGTTCAAGGCTTTCGAATATTATCAAAAATCATCAGAATTAGGTAACGTTCATGGAACATATAATGTTGGATATTTTTATGAAAACGGAATAGGGGTTAAAAAGGATGAACGCAAGGCCTTCGAATATTATCAAAAATCAGCAAAATTAGGTAGCATCCAAGGAACTTATGAAGTTGGATATTTTTATGAAAAAGGAATCGGAGTCAAAAAAGATAAGAGAAAAGCATCAGAACATTATTATAAAGCAGCATATCATTATGAGACTGGAATTGATATTGAAAAGGATGAGCTCAAGGCCTTCAAATATTATCAAAAATCAGCAGAATTAGGTAATGTTCAAGGAATATATAATGTTGGTTATTTTTATGAAAAAAGGATCGGATTCAAAAATAATAATAAGAAAGCCTCCGAAAATTATTATAAGGCAGCATATCATTACGAAAATGGAATTGGTATAGAAAAGGACAAGCTCGAGGCCTTCGAAAATTATCAAAAATCGGCAGAATTGGGTAACGTTCAAGGAATATATAATGTTGGATATTATTATGAAAAAAGAATTGAAGTCAAAAATGATAAGAAGAAAGCCTCAGAACATTATTATAAGGCAGCATATCATTACGAAAATGGAATTGGTATTGAGAAGGACGAGCTCAAAGCCTTCAAATATTATCAAAAATCGGCAGAATTAGGTAACGTTCAAGGAACATGTAAAGTTGGATATTTTTATGAAAATGGAATCGGAGTCAAAAATGATAAAATGAAAGGCTTAGGATTTTATTATAAAGTTGCATATCGTTACGAAAATGGTATTGGTGTTGAAAAGAACGAGCTCACGGCCTTTGAATATTATCAAAAATCAGCAGAATTAGGTGATGCTCAAGGAATATATAAGGTTGGATATTTT